CAGAGGTTCAAGCCAATTTCAGAAGAGGACATGGAATGGGGAATGTCATTGCTGATGTCAGTTGTATCTTGGTTGAAAGCAGAGAATATCAGAAAGATGCTTACCTGTGCTTTATTGACTACACAAGGCCTTTGATTGTGTGGATCATGTTAAGCTATGGACAACATTGTGATGTATAAGTATTCTGGTCCACTTAATTGTGCTCATGAGGAACCAAGAGGCAGTTGTTCAAACAGAACATGGGAACACTGAATGGTTTAAATTAGGAAAGGTGTGTGACATGGTTGTATTCTTTCACCATACTTATTCAATCTGCATGTTGAAAAAAATAATCAGAGAAGCTGGATTATATGAAGAAAAACGTAGCATCAGGATTGGAGGAAGGCTCATTAATAAACTTTAATATGCAGATGATACAACCTTGCTTGCTGACAGTAAAGAGGACTTAAAATCTTTACTTATGAAGATCAGAGACCATAGCCTTCAGTATGGGTTGCATCTCAATGTAAAGAAAACAGAAATCCTCACCAATGAGCCAAAAAATAACATCCATATAACTGGAGAAAAGACTGAAATTGTCAATGACTTCATTTTGCTGGGATCAGCATCAACGCTTATCGAAGCAGCAGTCAAGGACTCAAATGGCATATTATGTTAGGCAAATCTGCTGCACAAGACCTTTTAAGTGTTGAAGAGCAAATATGTCAGTTTGAGTACTAATGTGTGCCTGACTCTATCCATGATATTTTTTAAAAAACCTCATATGCATCCTAAAGTTGAATGGTGAGTAAGGAAGACTGTAGAATTGATGCATTTGAGTTATGGTGTTGGAGGAGAATATTAAAAGTACGATGTGCTGCCAAAAGAACCAACAGATCTATGTTGGAAGAAGTACAGTCAGAGTGCTCCTTAGAACCCAGGATGGGCAGACTTAGTCTCTCATATCTCAGACATATTGTCAGGAGGGACAAAACCCTGGAGAAGGATATCATCTTTGTAAAGTGGAGGTCAGAGAAAAAGAGGAAGACCCCCAGAGCGTTGGATTGGCATAGTGGTGGCAGCGATAGTTTCACATGTAGACCCATGCCAACTCAGGTGATGTGGAGAGCCATATACAAGAAGCTGGAGGATGGCAGAATCATGATGAAGACAGGTGAAGACACAGAGAAGTATGAGGAGCTAAAGAAGATATAGGTGAAGAGTGTCATATACACAACCTTGAAACAACAGTGCACTGTGGGTGGATACATGTACAGAGACCTAGGTTGAATTGGTATGGGAGGGAGAATGGAAGAATACCCAGAGATATATAAGGATTTAAAAGAGGCTATTTGTACATGGCTATTTGTACCTTTGCTGCAATGCAACTATGACCGTGATGGAGCATGTTGTTGTTGTTGTTCAGTGCCGTCAAGTCGATCCCAACTTATGGTGACCTTGTATAGGGTTTCCGAGGAACAACTCGTGGATTTGAACTGACGACTTTGTAGTACAAACTCCAGTGCTGATCCTACAGCACCACACTAGGATCATACAGTGGGTAAAATGATGAAAACATCTTAGATATTATCAAATATCTTAAGGCAATGAGTTGTTGGGCCTGAGGGCTAAGAACCATAATCTCCAGGAACACCATGGTCAATTGTCATAACATAGTCTACAAGGATAACGTTCTATATCCTACTCAGGCTAGTAACATCTGTGATCTTAAAAGCTCATGAGTGGCAACCTAAGGAGCAACAATTGGTCTCACTATATGTAAAATAAGAATGGTGATGAAAATTGAAGATGCTTAGAATCAAGTTTTTGTTGTTGTTGTTGTT